ATTTTTTACCCAATTTTTAATTATTTTAATTTGTTCCAAAAATAACCCCTTCTCCTTTATACTTCGAAAGATATATATTCCTTCTCCAGTGCGTATATTTTTTAAAAATATTCCATTACCCTTATGTTTGACTTTGACTTCTCCCGTGTCAATACTATCTACTAATTTATTTAATCCTTGTTTAACAGTTTTCTTGGTTTCTTCACCAAATCTTTTTCCAAATTCTTTTATTGTGCCTATCATTTCTCCCAATCCTGAACCTTTCTTTTCCGTTTTAGGTTTTTCAACCTCTGCTGCCAACTTTTCCATTTTTAAATTATGTCTACGTTGTTCGGCTGCGTTCTTTTCATCGGTGGCTTTTTTAGCAGCAGCTTCTGCAATAGCAGCTTTCTTTTCGTTGGCAACGCTTACTCCACCAGCTGTAGCACCAGCCACTGTAGCCACCGCGGTAATACCAGCAAATATTAAAGGTAGGGAAAATATAAATCCACCTTCTTTTGCATTCGCGTCAATTCTTTCTAAATCTATATCGTCTCTGACTTGACAATATTTGTATTTATCAATAAGTTTTTTAGTTATGCTGATTTTTTTACCGTTGAATGTTATTACAGTTGGGGAAGCTGTTTCTATAGCTTCTATTATTTTCTTGACTAAAGTTTCTGGTTTCATTTTTAAGGGTATATTTTTTACTCAATTCTTATCATTCTTCTATCTGCTATTTTAATTAAATGTTTTGCTTCTTCCATTAATAAACAATAACCTGTTACATCTCCTTGTGTTTTTTCAATATGAATATTTATGTTTACCCCTATTTTGAAAAGATCTTCTTGGTGAGCTGATAGATCAAAACAGAAGATTGGATGATTAAGTGCAAATCTACATATTCAAACTGAGGTAGATTTCCAAATAATTCACACATATTTTTATAGTTTCTATACAATTCATTATAATCCTTTGTGGTTGGATTAATTGTTAAAGGTTGGTTAGGATAATTATCGTTGTTCAATCTTACTTGAACTTTATGAATTAAAGGATCTTGAGTTTGGTTCATTGCCACTCTAAAGACACCATTGTTATTCGTTTGAGAATCTGGTAAGTTCTTGAAACCAACCATTAAATATCTTGCTGGTTTAATAGTGTTAGTGATTGGCCACGTGGTGGATTCTCCAGTTAAAGTCATGCTACCTACCGTGTTACGATGAAGAAAAGCTATTTCAATATCTTTAGTTAACGAGTTGAATATTCTTGTTTCTACTTCAATTGATGGTGTTATTACAGGTATGTAAAGTTGGAGATTCGTTATTTCTAATTTTGCATCTGAACCATTCTCTCCAAAGAATATCTTATCATCGTTGTTTTCTCTTTGTAGATGAATTTTATATGGTAAGCCTATGGAAACTTTTCTGTGTTCCAACAGACCGAATAAAGGATATAATTTCCAATTTACGTAATTACCCCAACTATTATTAACAATGCTATTGTTATACTGAAGTACTCGTTTTTCGAATCCATGATTAGCTGCTCGTGCTACTCTTTCTATCGTGTTTCGAGCAACAACTCTCACTCTAGCTAAATCAGCATCATTTGCAAGATTTCTTACCGGTTCTTTTAAAACACTTCCATCACCAACATCGGGTATCCAACCCGAGACTGAATCGAAATCTTTAGGATATAAAACTGTTTTCAACATTGTGTCGAATTCCCCAGGATGTTTGATTGTTTCTATCGGATTGAACCAGCTTTCCAAACCATCTCGCTAAATAAAGATGGAAAGAAATTGTTTTCTAACGTTGTATTAGTTTGTGGAACTTGATTCTGAGTTCCATCTTTAATTTTGAAATCACATCTGAAATAAGCATCGGAAATAAGCATCTGAAAGAAGCAACCAATTCGATAATGAATTTATTTCGAAGGTCGGTGAGATGATAATATAATCCTCTTTTTTCTTGTTAAATGAATAACGAATCGGATCATATAATCTAAAGATTGGATCTAGTATTTTATTTGCCATTTTAAGGTTTAAAATTTGAGTAAAAAATTGTGTTTCCAAAAAAGAGTTATCTCCCTTCTACATTATTTTAAAACCAGATGTTATTTTTATATAAGGGTATTTTTAATATGCTTTTTTTGATGGAATGTAGGAAATTGATTGAAGGCGTTTTTGGTGTATAGGGTGTAATAATTTATAGGGAGTTTAGGTCTTTTTTAATGTAAGAATTTATGAAATGAAAGATGTTTATGTGTAAGAATTTATTAAATGTAGGGAGTTTAAGTCTTTTTGGGAGCTTATAGATTGGTCGCATTTTCCCCATGAAATGAAATGGAATGGGGAATCCCCGTGCGACTAATATATAAGCTCATACACTACGTGTGACAATCGAGTCTACTACCGGGAAAATCAGGGGTGGAGTGTCCAAAGGTACACCAAGCAAATCGATAGAATTTCATATGCAAAAACGGAATGGCAGACCATAACACATATCAGAAAAAAAGGACACAATAGATCTTGACACATACCATAAACATTGACCCTATCAACCTCAACTACATAAACGACTAAAAATATGAACATGTATGTAAAAGGTTGACATGTAAGCTTTCAGCCATTACTTTCTCAAGGGATATTAACCACTACACTTGCTCAGAGCACAAACTAATAATTTTAAAGGAAAAAGAGTATATCGACCCTTACACGACTGCTAATTAAGGTGTTTATTAATTTGCCACGCAAAGTTTCCGTGGTAAGTAGCCTTAAGAATTTGCCACGCAGTTTAGTACTGTTGTAGACGTGACGTCTCTTGCCACTCTTGAACATTATATGCAAAACATTATAGTATACTCACCTCTAGAGCAGAGCTTTACTGTTGTTTGTTTTTTTTTTTTTTTTTTGCTGAAAATGTATGACGATGAGCGAGCGGTTATTCCGAGTTATCTTTCCTTGGGAGGTATTAGCGTGTGTGAAAACTTTTTTTCTGGAAGCCACGCCTTTTGACCTCCTTTGTATATTGCTAAGAGAAATGTTGAAAATGATATGTCGAAAATGATAATACCAAAATGATATGTCGAAAATGATAATACCAAAATGATATGTCGAAAATGATAATACAGAAATGATATGTTTAAAATGATATAATATGTCGAAAATGATAATACCAAAATGATATGTTTAAAATGATAATACCAAAATGATATGTTTAAAATGATAATACCAAAATGATATGTCGAAAATGATAATACCAAAATGATATGTTTAAAATGATAATACCAAAATGATATGTTTAAAATGATAATACCAAAATGATATGTAAACGTATAATTAGTGAGGAAATGACAAAACACATTTGTTTTACCCTAATTACTAAAGCAATATGACAAAGCTGAGGTATCATAATAAGTATTAGACAATTTAACAGAGCACCTTATTTTGACCCAAAAACCCTTCCATAAAAACCCTTCCATACTACCGGTTATACTCATCCGCTAAAGTTTGGCAGTTCACAAAACGACAATTTTTAGAATTAGGTCTCTCATCATCTCACCAAATCTTAAAGATAATGCAATTTCGGACATCAAATTCCAAATCTAGATAAAAAAAACTACTCAGTAATAGGCATGCAAAAACCCCAAAAGAGAGAGAGAAAGAAGATTATAAAATGTTTTACAGGAGTCGGTCCTGATAATTGAGCCTACATTTCTGTTGAAGAGTTATCTGTCCTTCTATAAATTACAAATGGCGGAAGATAAAACAATGAA